GTTACAAAAGTGTTATTGAAGATATTTACTAAAGAGTGACTGAAGACTTACTAAAGATTTACTGAAGAGTTACTCTTTACTTATTGAAAAGTTAGTAAAGAGTTACAGAAGAATTGTTGAAGAGTTGTTAAAGAATTACGGAAGAGTTACTATATTGTTACCGAAGAGTTAGTGAAGATATTTACTGAAGAGTTAGTGAAGATATTTTCTTAAGAGTTACTCTTTATTTACTTAAGAGTTACTGAAGATATTTACTGAAGGGTTACTGAAGAGTTGCTGCAGATATTTACTAGAGTGTTACTGAAGAGTTACTGCAGATATATACTAAAGATGTACTAAATAGTTACTGAAGAGTTATTCAAGAGTTTCGAAAGATATTTACTGAAGAGTTACTCTTTATTTGTCGTAGAGTTACTGAAGAGTTACTAAAGAGTTATTAAAGAATTACTGGAGATATTTACTAAAGAGTTACTATATAGTTACTGAAGAGTTTCTAAAGATATTTATTGAAGAATTACTGAAGAGTTACTCTTTATTTATTAGAGAGTATTGAAGAGTTACTACAGAGTTACTAAAGATATTTAGTAAAGAGTTACTGAAGATATTTACTAAAGAGTCACTAAATAGTTACTGAAGAGATTTCAAAGATATTTGCTGAAGAATTACTTTTTATTTATCATAGGTTTATTGAAGAGTTACTAAAGAGTTATTGAAGAATTACTAAAGATATTTACTAAAGAGTTACTAAATAGTTACTGAAGAGTTTCTGAAGATATTTGTTGAAGAGTTACTCTTTATTTACCAAAGAGTTAGTGAAGAGTTACCATTTATTTACTAAAGAGTTTCTGAAAATTACTATAGATATTTACTAAAGAGTTATTGAACAGTTACTGAAGAATTATTGAAGAGTTATAAAAGAGTTCTTGAAAAGTTAATAAAGTATTACTAAAGATATTTACTGAAGAGTTACTAAAGATTTACTAACGAGTTACTCTTTACTTACTTTAAAGTTACTACAGAGTTATTCAAGAATGACCTAAGAGTTGCTAAAGAGTTACTGAAGATATTTACTGAAGAGTTACGGAAGATATTTTGTTAAGAGTTACGGAAGATATTTTCTTAAGAGTTATTGAAGATATTTACTGAAGGGTTGCTAAAGAGTTACTGCAAATATTTACTAGAGTGTTACTGAAGAGTTACTGCAGATATTTACTAAAGATGTACTAAATAGATACTAAAGAGTTATTCAAGAGTTTATGAAGATATTTACTGAAGAGTTACTCTTTATTAACCGTAGAATTACTGAAGAGTTACTAACAAGTTATTAAAGAATTATTGAAGATATTTACTAAAGAGTTACTAAATAGTTACTGAAGAGTTTCTGAAGATATTTATTGAAGAATTACTGAAGAGTTACTCTTTCTTTATTAAAGAATACTGAAGAGTTACTATAGAGTTACAGAAGATATTTAGTAAAGAGTTACTGAAGATATCTAAAGAGTTACTAAATAGTTACTGAAAAGTTACTAAAGAGTTTTTAAAGATATTTGTTGAAGAGTTATTTTTTATTTATCGTAGAGTTATTGAAGAGTTTCTAAAGAGTTATTGAAGAATTACTGAAGATATTTACTAAAGAGTTACTAAATAGTTACTTAGAGTTTCTAAAGATATTTGTTGAAGAGTTACTCTTTATTTACTGAAGAGTTAGTGAAGAGTTACCATTTATTTACTGAAGAGTTTCTGAAAAGTTACTATAGATATTTACTAAAGAGCTACTGAACAATTACTGAAGAGTTCTTGAAAAGTTACTAAAGTATTACTGAAGATATTTACTGAAGAGTGACTGAAGAGTTACTAAAGATTTACTAAAGAGTTACTCTTTACTTACCGAAAAGTTATTAAAGAGTTATTGAAGAATTACTGAAGAGTTGCTAAAGAGTTAATGAAGAGTTACTGTAGAGTTACTAAAGATATTTTCTGAAGAGTTACTCTTTATTTACTTAAGAGTTACTAAAGATTTACTAAAGAATTACTGAAAAGTTACTAAAGAGTTACTGAAAATATTTACAAAAGAGTTATTGAAGATTTTCTAAAGAGTTACTACAGAGTTACTGAAGTTATTTACGGAAGATATTTTCTGAAGAGTTACTCTTTATTTACTGAAGAGTTACTAAAGTGTAACTAAAGATATTTACTGAAGATTTACTAAACATATTTGCTAAAGAGTTATTCTTTATTTACTGAAGAGTTACTATAGAGTTATTAAAGAGTTACTGAAAATATTTACTTAAGAGTTACTCTTTATTTACTTAAGAGTAACTACTAAAGAGTTACTGAAGATATTTATGGAAGAGTTACTCTTTATTTACTGAAGAGATGTTGAAGAGTTACTGAAGAATTACTGAAGAGTTATTGAAGATATTTACTAAAGAGTTACTAAAGAGTTACTAAAGATATTTACTGAAGAGTTACTAAATATTTACTAAACATATTTACTGAAGAGTTACTCTTTATTTACTAAAGAGTTACTTATGCGTTACTAAAGAGTTACTGAAGAGTTACTCTTTATTCACTGAAAAGTTACTGAAGAGTTACTCTTTATTTACTGAATAGTTATTCAAGATTTACTAAACAGTTACTGAAGATATTTACTAAAGAGTTACTCTTTATTTACTAAAGAGTTACTAAAGATTTACTGAAGAGTTACTAAAGATATTTACTGAATATATTCCATCACTCTGTGCCTGAGGAGTTTATATTAACCCATAAAGATCTTTCTTTATTCGAAATACTTTCTCCTCCTCGCCTTTCTTCACGTATCCAAGTGGTTGTTCAACACACACCTCCTCCTTGAGCACACCATTCAAAAATGTCGATTTGACATTCATCTGCATGATTGACGATTTGTATTGTGTTGCTAAAGAGATCATTAGCCAAATAGTCTTCATCCTCGCTACCAGGGCAAACACATCATCATAGTCAATCCCTTCTTTCTATCTATAACCCTTTGCAACAAACTCAGCTTTGTACCTCTCCTTATGCATTGAGTTTCTTCTTGAACACCCATTTCACACCAATAGGTCGAGCATAACTCAGTAGCTTGGTCAACGCCCAAGTGTCATTCTGATCTATAGCTCAGATCTCATCATCCATCGCAACTCATCACTTCTCATCTCGCACAACCTCCTCCAATGTGATGTTCTCGGAATATGCCAAAAGACAAACAATATGAACTTCATCAATCGAATCATATAAGTCTCGCATTTTGGGTCGTGGTTCATCTTTCTCCTCACCTTTCGAGCTGGCAGCAGCTCGACCTCCTCGGTCATGTTAGAAAAATGGCATCTAGAGGGGGTGAATAGATGCACAAATTAAAATAGAGGCCAAATTAAAAATTTATTTTAGATGTCTAATATAACTTGTTAATTCAATTTTAATTATCAGATTGAATTTAGATAAAACGAAAGCGATATAATCAGAGATATAAAGGGAAAGATTCAAGCGTGAAGATATAGGAAAGAGAAGGACAATATAGGGAAGAGAAGATCACATAGAGATTTATACTGGTTTGGGTATAGCCAACCCTATATCACTACTAGAAAATGGTTAATAGTGACTGAAATTAGTGACTGAAAAATTCAGTCACTGATAGTAACTGAATCAGTGACTGATTTCCCTTTTTATATTTAGTGACTGATTTAGTGACTAAAATTTCAGTCACTGATTCGATTACCAAATCGGTCATTGATTCGATCACTACTTAGAAAAATGGTTAATAGTAACCAAAATTAGTGATTGTTTTTTTTATATTTAGTAGCTGATTTAGTGACTAAAATTTCGAGTCACTAAAAAAATAATTTTTAAATTGATAACTATTTTTCATTTATATAAATATTTTATTTAAAATATTTAAAATATAAATCTACTTAATAATTTTTAATAATTTAAAATAATTGATAACATTTTTAATAACATTATAAAAATTTTAAATAAATAGTTTACTAACTTATTAAATAATTTAGTAATATAATTATTTTATTTTATTTTTTAATTTAGCATGTGAATAAAAAAATTAAAATTGATTTTTAAATTAGTCATAGAATCGGTCACTTGATTCGATCATCGAATCGAGTCACTATTTCGATCACTAGAATCGGTCACTGATTCGGTCACTCAAATTGGTCACTAAATCAATAATTAAATTAATTATTAATTTAGTCTGTTTATATATATATATATATATATATATATATATATATATATATTACTTGTATGTTAATAAATATGTATTTCAATGTATTTATAAAAAATTAAAATTATTTTAATTACTGAATTGATATTTTAAATTTATATTAATATCTTGGATAATTTAATAGTTGGATATATATTTTAAGTTTATATTAGTCATTTTTATATAAAAGTGTAAAAATTAAGTGAACTTATTTTAAAATTTAATTAAACATAATAATATAATATAGTATTAACCATAAATATGTGAAGATTTAGTTAGAAATTAATTTTAAGTTTTATTGTTTTTATTTGAAAAAAATCGTTAAAAAAATTTAAAATAATTAATTAAAGTAAAGAATTTTAATTTAATAAATGTGTTAATATTATTAGAAGAATTAAATTTATATTAATAATTATATAAAATTATAGATATGTTAAAATTTAAATTATTGATATTTTTTTAATTATTAAGCTAAAATTTGATAATATTAATAAATTAAAAATAAAAAATAAATAAATTTATATGTATATATATCACTTTAATTTTTTAATTAAAATTAATTTCATAAAAAAATTAATATTTGAAAATTAAAATGCAAAAGTATATATATTTATCTTTTATTTAATTATACTTTTACACCTAAAAAAAAGAAAAAAATAATAAAATTTTCTTTTATTAATCATTTTTATAAAATAAAAAAATATATAATAATTACTTTTATAAAAAAAAAATTTAAGTTCAAACCTGCGTTGACTGACCTAATTTTAACCTAAATTTTGGGTCATCACTTTTATTTTCATCACCTTCATTTTCCCTTCACTCACGCGTCTCACCGTTCTCCCTAGAGATCCCTGCTTCCACTCTTCCTGAATCCCTCTTTTTCCCCGCGTAGCAGCCCCCACTCTCCCTGCACCTTCACTTTCCCTTTTCCCTTTCAGTCTTATTGCGCCACTCACACCTTGGCAATCACCTCCAACCACGGCCAGCACCACTCCAGCTCCCTTCTCAACCCTTCACTGGAGCCCGCGCAGCCCCTATTCAACTCCGACCGCAGCTCCTCCACTGTGACCCACAACACCACTAAACGACCACCACGATCCCCCCACAATCGCTCCCCCAAATCGCCGAGCCACCACCACGACCATCCCCATCTCCAGCCCCTCTAATCTTCCCCACTACAAATCACCACCACTCCTTCATCTCACCGTAGCTAACCGCCACCACCGCACCAGCCCTAGCCACTTACGCGACCACCTTCATCCCTAAAATCCTTTCTTATTCCTCCTCTGCTACCACCTCAATCGTGCCAATGCGAACCATACTTCGGCAACCCCACAACAAACGCAATCTGCGGCCCCAGTCGCACCTCTCTGTGAGCCACCTTCCCATTCATGTCGCGGCTAGTGGGGTGGCATCCTCGGAACAGTGTCGAGTCCTTTCCTTAAAGTAGAAGTCGCGGGCCAACTTCCCTATAGAGGTTGAACTCGAGGACCGGGATCCATGTTTTGGGTCTCTGTTTTGCTTGATTTGTTTTAAGTTTTCGCCTGGTATTGCATTTCTAATTGAGGGTTTTGTTTCTGATGGTTTAACCTTGTTGATTTTGACGCCTTTGCTTAATGTTGTTGTTTCTGAGTGGGATATGTTAAATGTTGGTTAGCATGGTTGTATCCAATTCGAGGCGTGTGGTTCCAGTGTGGTTTCATTCCGTTTATTTGATTATGCGTTATGCTTTGATTTGATTATGTTGGTTGTTTCTGACGGGTTTAGTTTAAATGGGGTCGTTAAGTTTTTTGGTTGTGCTAGCTGCTACTTGTATCAATTGTGTTCATCTCCCTGTTTAACATTATTATTATTAAAACAGGTGATATTATTTGTTGAGATGGTGTCCTGCATTATTGTTTGTTAAGATGGTGTCCTGTATAATACCTGGTTATTAAGTAATGTTCACCTTGTACCATTTGTTTGCAGATACACCTAATGTTGTCCTGTATGATTATTGTTTGTTAAGATGGTGTCCTGTATGCTACTTGTACCATTTGTTTGCAGATACACCTAATGTTGCTCATGAGTTAACAATAGCAGGTAACACTCTTGGCTCCAATCACTTACAATGTCCCCCTTCCCATAGTCGTATAGTTATTGCATAGGCTTGGCCAAATTCTTTAAGTAATAGAAGCGTATCCTATTAGTAAATCTCAAATTTGCTTGATTCATAAAGGATAGCTATATGCATTGGCTTTCCTATAAGCTCTTTGTGGATGAAAAATTAGATTTCTCTTTTATACCCATCCTTGCTATTCGTGTAGGCTAAAGCTGAAACATAACAATCCTCTTTATTGTTAGAAAGATAATTTTTGCGATCTGGTTGTTGAAACATAACAATCCTTGCTATTCTTTTGTTTCCATTTATTGTTTGTTTTGCAGCCAGCTGTTTCTGCAGTTGGGTTGGTTCACTTGGGCTTAAAGGTTAATTTTTGTTTTCTTGCTTGGTTTTTTTATATAAAGTTTTATTTACTGAATTACTTTACTGAATTTTGGGAGTGTTTGAGGCATTTTTAGTTCAATGACTGAAATGGGTAGAAATGTTTTAGGATTTTTATTTTTTATTTTTAATTTGGGGAATTTAGAAATATTTTATGTCTTTTTAATTGGTTTTGAGCTACTAACTACTGTTTTATTATAGTAAATGTGTTGCAGAATGTTTTGTACTTGAATTTTAAATTTCACTACTATTCTATTTTAATGTTTATAGGCAGAGTTTAGTCATGCCTGGGAAGAAGCCTCTCAATCAGGATCTATTGCAGGAGGTTCTCCGCCTGATAAATTACATGTTTGGTGTAAAGTTGCTGGAATAAACAAAGGCAAAGTATATGAGCTTGGATCTGAGTCAAGTAAAGCAATTGAGAGAAATCTTTGTCACGACTCTACTTCATCATCTGTCCAGCTTATGAGGGAGGAGATTGAACAATTAAAAGACAAGTTACAGGAAGTTGAGGAAGTTGAGACTGAAAGGGATGATCTCCGTGAAAGAATGTTAACTAATGAGAGACAAATTCAGAAAAATGATAAAATGTTGCTCCTCTTGATGGAGAAGATGGATGTTCAACCTCCGGAATTGTGAACTGATTTTGTTATGTATATTGTATTTGTTTTGTTAGTATCTGACATTTTTAGAATTATGACTCTTATTTTAGTTTATTCTACTTATTTTTATATTAAATTTTCAATATGTAAGAAAGTATTTAATTAATGAATGATGACTTTATTTAGAATAAAATTTGTGGTATTATTTTGATGGTTATCTTAGGTAGTGAAATTTTCATATATTTAATATAATATATAATGTATTTCATAGGTTTATCGTTATTTTAAAAATAATATAAAAAAATAAAATAAAATTAGTGATCGATATAGTGACCGATTTGGTTATATATATTCGATCACTGAATTGTCATCGAATCGACCACTAATTCGATCATGAATCGATCACTGAATTGGTCATTGAATTGGTCACTGATTCGATCACTAAAATCAGTGACCAAGGAAATAGTGACCGATTCTAGTTGGTCACTATTTCGGTCACTATTTTAGTTAGTGACCGATTTTGGACATTTAGTGACCGAATTTTCGGTCACTATTTGGTGTTTTTCTTGTAGTGTATCTAGTTCCCAGCCAACTTTAATCACAAAAGTGACCCCAATTCACTATCTTTCAAATTTAGTTTACAAATTACAATCAACTCAGCAAAAAAACCAGTAAAAAGAAAACGAATTCAAAAGACAAACACATCCTTAGAATCCCACTAAGGATGAACACCTCCTTAGAATCCCACTAGGGATGAACATCTCCTTTGAACAAATCAAAGGATGAAAACACCTCCTTAGAATCCCACTAAGGATGAACCCCTTCCTAGAATCACACTAGTGAAAGTGATGAAGATCTTATTGAATTACTTTGGCAAATATCTTGTTGATTTGATGAAAACAAAAATGAAGTCAAAGGAAACTTTGTGGTAGTCAAAAGTCACTTAGATAAAAGAGTAGAGGGATTAGTGTGTTTGTCGCTCTGCTTAGGTATAATCATTTTTATCTTTCTGCTGCATGAGGTTTCTTCATTTAAAAGATTTTGCAAATGCCTCTAAAAAATGTTTAAACGGTTAAAAACAAAGTATTTTGATAAAAGTTTTCTTAAACAACTATTTTAACCAATAGCATATAAACTTTATCAACTAAAATGTTCTTAACACTTTTGTAATAGGTTTTTAACTGATATAATTTCGAAATAACCGATTGTTTTCATTAAAGGAAGTTTTGAAAACCTTCTGTCAGTATTTTAACTGATACAGTTTCGAAATAACCGATTAAAATCACTTAAAATTTTCAGGGAAGTGTTCTGGAAGTATTTTAATCGATATAACTTCGAAATAATCGATTAAAACCACTTGGAGTACTGTTTGATCAATCAGAATGAGCATATGACCGATCAGAACCAGATATGATTGATCAGAATTGAGTTATGACCGATCATAATTATATTAATCGATTAAATTGCGTTTCAATCGATTAAAAGAACTTAAGAGAATTTCTACACTGCGTTTTAATCGATTAAAACATTTTTTATCAGTTAAAATCATTTAGAAAAGTGTATAAGAATGTTTTGCAGTATTTTAATTGATTGAAAGTCGAAACAATTGATTAAAACAGATTGGAAGATTTTTTACAAAAGGTTTTAATTGATATAAACGTTGTCGTATCAGTTAAAACAAATCTGGAAAATAATCAAGAACGTTTTAATAGATTAAAAGAAGATTTAACAGATTAAAACAAGACTTTTAACAGATTAAAAGATTATTTTAACAGATTAATTAAACCAGCAGTTTTAAAAATCTTCTATATAAACAGAATTGTTTAAACTTTTTTAAAACATATCTTTTAGCAATCAATCAAGCAATCAAAAGTGCTACTTTCAAGAGAGAATCACACTAGTTTTTGTGAAGATCATTAAAGTTATTTCTTGAGGCAAATTGCATTCTTTTGGAGAAGAAACACATACTGCAGAACTGTATAAAACTGGTTTGAGCGTTCTAAGTTTCTTCTATTTGTTTCTTTACTTTCTTTTACTGTATTGTGGGTGCCTGGAATTGTGGGCACTGGTTTCTGTAGCTGGAATTTGGCTGCAGGGTTGGTCAAGAACTGAAAATTGGTTCTTGGTGAAAGGTTAGGTGCAGGAACTGGAATTGTGGTTCTTGTGGTAGATTGAGTGTGAGATTAAGGTTGTAATCTGTAAAACATTCAATCTAGTGGAACCCAGCTGGAATTTGGCTGGAGACCGGACGTAGCCCTGGGATTGGGTGAACCAGTATAAACCTTGGTGATATCTTTCTAAACCTTTCTCTTCTTTAATTATGTGACTGCATTTATTTTTGATTGCTTGCTGTGTAATTCAAGAATTGGTCAGATTTCTTAATCTTTGAAATAGATAATCTGTAATTGCGAAAAACTTTCAAAGATCAATTCACCCCCCTCTTGATCTCAGCCTACATTTCTAACAATTGGTATCAGAGCAAGGTTCTTGAGAGTTATTCAAGTCTTTCGATCCATGGCTGAAAATAAATTTTCTGAGGGTGCTTGTATTGATAGACCTCCACTGTTTTGTGGAACAGATTATCCATTTTGGAAGATTAGGATGAAGATCTTTATTGAATCTGTTAGTATAAATGTTTGGAATATCATTGAACAAGAAACTGATGTTTCTAACAAAGATTGGTCTAGCTTAAATGATTGTGAAAAGAAATTAATCCAAGATGATTGTATTGCCAAAAATATCATCATATCTGCACTTAACAAAAACGATTTTTTCAGGATAACACATTGTCAAACTGCTGCACAAATGTGGAAGATCCTTGAAATGACCTATGAAGAAACAACAGAGATATGCTTAATGGTCAACTCGGATTCGCCAATAACCAGTGTAAGTTTTGACTCAACAACTACTATGAATTATAGTTCATTACAAGATGTTTTTTATGAAATGCATGCAGTAGTTAAAAGATTAGAAACTGAAAACAAAAGATTAAAAAGCATGAATAGTTTATTAGAAAACAAGATTGCTATTCTTGAAAAGAAAATAGTTGATGAAGAAACCAAGAATGAAAATTTGGAAATAGGTAATAACTCTGACTGCATGTGTAATGTTAAAGATTGCAAAAACTGTCCTGAGTTACAAGAGAAAGTAACATACTTAATAAAAACTGCATCTAAACTTGCACAAGGAAAAACTAGTCTTGATATGATACTTGATTCTCAAAAATTAGTTATTGATCGTGGTGGAATAGGTTTTACACCTTCTATTGGAAAGAAAACTAGAGCATTTAAAAACTATTTTGCATATAAT